TGTTTTTCTTTTAATAAAGATAAGTTTTATTTTAAGAAGAGACCTTTGAGTGACTCTGCCAGCTCTTAGCGGTTTCCAAGCTTACACCTCTGCCTTTGGTAAGGAGGCAACACTCAGAGGACACACGAACCAGAGGGGGAGTGTGGGGACACATTTTTTCTCACAACAGTGCACACAAAAGTTCATAGCCTGAATAAACTTTTGTCGGTCTCAAAAGTGCCTGACTGGACTCAAAATCTGTTCTACTGCTTCAGACCAACACAGCTGCCCACCTGGACCTCTGAAACTATGTCTTCACTACTCACAACGATATAAGGAAGGTCAGTGTGGTTCTCTGCATCTTGTAAGTAGGGGAAACAGAGTTCAGGCTGTGTTAGGGGGTACTGGAAGTGAATTCATCATGGACAGATGTGGACCTGGGCTGCTTGACCTACCCTCATAGAATCATAGAACGTTAGAGTTGGAAGGGACCTTGCAGGTCATCTAGTCCAACCCCCTGCACTCTGCAGGAGCGTAGCCAAGAGATAGCCCTACAACATATCCGAAAGATGGTCGTCCAGCCTCCACTTGAAAACGTCCAGAGAAGGAGCATCCACCACCTCCCAAGGCAGACTGTTCCACTGCTCAACCACTCTTACAGTCAGGAAGTTTCTCCTGATATTTAGCCGGTAACGACTCCCTTGTCATTTCCACCCATTAGATCTAGTCTTGCAATCCAGAGCAAGAGAGAATAGATCTGCAAATTTGATAAGCATCCCCTCTATGTCTTCCCTTATAAGCATCCCCTAACCTTCCCTTATTTCATAGAATTCATATGCATGGCAGTTCACATCAAAATAGAATAAAACCGTTGTAAAGCATTATAAACTTACAAACAAAAGCAGGAACATATGTTTGTTGTCAGCACAGAGTCTTTATGGAACTGGACGATCTGGATCATAAAGCCTAAAATCAGAAACTCTGGTCAGAAAAACTCCGGTGGCCTCCAAAAAATACTAAGAGAGGAGAGTGATCAGTCAAGGGGGAGTCCCATGCGACTGGGACGCCTAGTGAAGCGTTGTTCCTAGTTTCCACCTGAAGGAAGACCTCAGCCCTAACTGGAGTTTCTAGAATTATAAACCCGCTTCTCCTTGCATGAAGTCTTCCAAAAAGGGGGACAGCCTTCTTAATAGTTGGATGTTTTTAGCCAGTTTGAGAATGACAGGAGTACTCCATCCATGAATGTTAGCTGCACAATGTGTCTTTTGTAGGACCAGCTAAAAGCATCCAACTATTAAGAAGGCTGTCCCCCGGAGAAGCTTCCGGGTACGGCGTAGTGACGGGCGCATTCTCGGCTCCTCCAAGACTCCTGGTCCTGTTTCGCCTCTTTCAGAGCCCCCTGGATGGCGGGGGGACTCTGCTAGATCTCCCGTAGAGAGGTCTAGAGCAGGGGGCTCTGTTGGGCTCACAAACTCCTTTCCCTTCCCCTCCCCACAACAGACACCCTGTGAGGTCGGTGGGGCTGAGAGAGCTCTGACAGAAACGGCTCCTTTTCAAGGACAGCTCTTGTCAGAACTAGGGCATGCCCAAGGTCATCCAGCAGCTGCAAATGGAGGAGTGGGGAATCGAACCCGGTTCTCCCAGATTACAGTCTGCGCACTTAGCCACCTACACCAAACTGGCACTAGGCACTACACCAACATCTAGAGCACTTAATATGTTGTAATTCTGTAATAATGGTTTTTATGGTTTTAATTGTTTTTATGTGTTGGCGTATGCCTATTTGTGAGCCGCCCTGAGCCCGCGTTGCGGGGAGGGCAGGCTATAAATTGAAATTATAAATAAATAAATAAAAATCTGCGTGCCAGGGAAAACCTCGCACATACTTAATTTCTGCAGGTCAAGGGGATGGTTAGAGGCACAGACCGAGCCGTTCAAAAGGATCTCGACCCACTTCTGGTCATGTTGAATGGATCGGAGCAATGTCACAGTTGCTGGGGTTGCCAACGCTGTCCTGAAATTCCTGGAGATTTGTGGACAGTGCTTGGGGAGGGGGAGGGATTTGGAGAGGGATTTCTCCTAGAATCTGTGGTATGGACACACACACACACACACAGTCATTTGTGCCAGCACTGGCAAAAATCCAAGGTTGCAAGCTCCAGTGGCAGCTGGAATGGCATGGGCACGGTTATGGGAAACATCCACCTTCCCCCCACTACTGGGCTTCCACCCTCAGGGCCTGGGAAACGCATTGCCCCTAAACCTTCCATAACACCACTGGCATGCAAGGAGAACTCCAGTAGCAGATAAAGGGTGATAAAGTGGACAGTTTGGGGAAGAAATTTATGTTAGGGGTGGTGTTTGTTGGACCCTTGGAAGTTTGGGAGTGTGTGTGTGTGTTTATGGCACAGTTTAAGTGGGATGCCTTCTGATTTGGTATGAGCACACTATACAGCTGGACTGGGACAAGGGGTGGATCTGTGGCTGTGCCATAATTACAGCCAATTAAAAAATCCCCCGTGTGGGCTGCAAGGAAAGGCAGTTGGGTCTGAGGAACTCAACTAGTTTGTTTTTTAAAGAACCAGTCCTAAGGCAACGATATCCACGCAGTGGCTTGTGAACCACATGTGGCTCTTTGACATGATTTCTAAAAATATTAATTATTAAAACGTTTGTGACATGTTTTCACTTTCATAATGGGCCCTGGCTAGGAAACGCTGCTCTCTGTAGGGAGGAGACTTCTGCAGAGAGGCTGGGTTACTGGCTGCCTGGCCAGGAGAGGAGAAGGAGAGGGGACTTCAAGGGGGAAGCAGTAAACAGTTCAGTATGATTTGGAGGGTTAAACTTATAAGTTAAGACTAGTGTAAAAGAAAAATATGTAAAAATTAGTAAATGTATAATTGGTATTTGTATTAAAAATGATGAATTGGTGAAATGATTGCTGAGGTAATAGGAAAGGTTAGAATATGGATGATTAATTCTTTAAATTGTATTTAATTATGCTTTAACATTCTATCACGATGGTGTAATTAAGTTTTAGTTATTTTGAATTATAGTTTAGTAGGATTGTGTTGAATAAAGATTAATCCTGAGACAAACAGAGTTAGGTAAAGATCTGGCAAAATATAAGTGGAAGATTTAGGTGTAAAACTCTCATGTAATAAATAGCAGAGTTAATCTTTAAGCTAAGCTTGATGTATTGGTTCCAATAGATCGACAAATCAGTGTACATGTAGCAAAGATTGAATGAAAATTTAAAAGGGTAATAAAAGGGGGGGAAGAGATTTAAAAATTGTAATATTAAACCCTGATCTTATGCTGAAAACAAGGAATTGGCAGACTACTGAAAGATGTGTAATAGTAATGGGTAGAACCTTGAACGGTGAAGTTGACGATGACTAAATATCTTATGCTGTTAATATGAATATGCTATTATTATGAATGGTGTTATTTGGCAAAACAGAGATAGAAGTAACTACTCAACATAGAAATGACCTAAATGTTGATTATAAGAACAAAAT